GGGTATGGGCTGAGATGAACCCCTATAGTGTTCTATTTGACTGAGTTTCACAGGGGCTACGATGGGAATACTCAGGATATAGGGTATCTCAGAATGTATCTGAGATGAGAGAGCGAGCGAGGTTGAAACCTGGAGTACCTGCGTTCTCGGCTGAGTCACTTGCTGTGCTGGAGACGATAAGAGATCGTGATGGAGGCAGGAATGCACCACGGTAAGATGGGGGTTGTCATCTGTCGAAAGGGGAACTCGTGATGGATTAGTCGGGTGCATTACATGAGGCCACAAGATATTTCTTTCCTGTCTAAAATCCATATCCGTATCATCTTCTATATCCTTCCATGACCATATGGTCATCAATATAATTTTCCATATCCGTATCATCATCACCGTAGCCTTCCATATCCATATCATCATCACCGCAACCTTCCATATCCGTATCATCATCACCGTAACCTTCCATATCCGCATCGTCATCAATATAATTTTCCATATCCGTATCATCATCACCGTAACCTTCCATATCCGTATCATCATCACCGTAACCTTCCATATCCGCATCGTCATCAATATAATTTTCCATATCCGTATCATCATCACCGTAACCTTCCATATCCGCATCGTCTATGGGTCAGAGGGTCAGGCTTGTTAGCCGGCCCGATCAAGGTGATTTCATCGGTGAGCAACCTATCCAGACCCTAGGGCGGGAGGTGGGAAAAGAAATCTATGGACCGAACGGTCCCATTTTCGAACGAGGCTTCGAACAAAATCGATCACGCTACGTGATGAGCGAGCGCCCTGACCGAGCGTACCCGGCTCAAATCCACTCGGAGGCATTTCACCGCGGTGGAAACCAAGTTGCACTTGGTTTTCACCTAGCATGAAACGTCCTCCAGCGTCTCGCTTTGAGCCGTCAATAAACAGTGGGATGCGTATATGGGCCCCCATACTCTGCGTCAAATAGTAAACGCGCTGATATTCCGATGAGTAGCATCCAGTACTAGGGGCTAGGAAAAGCACCCATTGGCGACGTGTGATGTTGCCAGGAATCATTGATAGGCTAGAAATCCTATAGGCTTATTCCCCCCGAGATAGTAGATTGTCTAGGATACTCGTAACTTGAAAGCCCAGCAAGGTCTGTGGAAAGAATCTTCTTGAAGTTGGAGCTCCTCTGGGCTTGTACTAAGAGTCCGCTAGCCAGTTGAGCCATTGATGGCACTCTACTGCAGTATGACGACGGCAGACGGTGGCTCCATTTTGATGGTTCTTTTGACCTGACGAATTTGGA